GAGTAGGAGTAGCTATTGGAAATGTTTCACTGCCTGTTTTGATACTGAAAGAGTCACCCATGCATTATTGTAAGTGCTGCGAGACAAACTCTTGGAGAATCAGACTGAGGCAGACTTTGCTGCTTCTGCAGGACCCAAGGCACTTGCAACACATCACCTGGATGTGTTGTCTCGCCAGATGTGCCCGTATCTGCGACATTTTGTGGTTTTCTCCAGTTTTTCATGTGGACGTGGTAATGTGGGACAAACCTGCTATGGCATGAACAACTCCATTACAGAGCGCATCTGTGAGGCCCGTGTCCGAGATGGATTGCCAGGTCTTGCCGTACAGTGGGGCCCTGTGGGAGATGTGGGCATGCTTGCAGAGGTGCACGAGGAACATCAAAACATTCAGTTGTGTCAGTTGTGGTCTGAAAATAGTTTGTACACATAAGTCACAGAAGAAAGCTTTAACTGCTGCCAAACCTTAGGCTAAGAATATACATTATACATTATGTTAACACAATGTGGGGTTTATCATTTGTTTTGTAATTGATATAGTAATACTAAATATTGCTATATAACAGGTCAAGTAACATTCTAAAAAGCTTTCATTGATATTTCAGTACAATTTGAAAAGTTTTACTCTTGAATAAAAATGACCAGTAACCTTTACTGATTCTACATAATGTGTATATATAACCAAAACAATTTGACATTTTTCAGTCAGCAGTAGGAGGTTCCTCTTCGACCGAATAATTGTATGAATTCAGAATAACAGATAGGCAATACATCTGGAAATTTTACGGTTAATTAGGAGGCCAAGTATCTCGTAAATTTCTGTATAGTTTTATCTCAGCTTGCTACAACTGTCTGATGTGTCTGACCTTCTGTATTTTCTCTGGCAAACAGTCATGAGTTTGTACAGTTTTCAAATTCTCTGTGGGTAAGAAGTGTTTCAGAGGGCATACAAGATAAAATACATAACTGTAGATTCACTAGGAATTAGTATTATTTTATGGAATGGCCATTGATATATCTATTAATGCCATGTTTATTTATAGTATTTTCCCCATTTCATTCTGTTCAATTGCATACCAGTTCCCCCCTTCTCTCAGAAATTAAAAGTATTTGTAAACATCTTTTTAAGTTTTATTCTATGGATACAGGTCTGATGGAGTTTGGTCTGAAAGGAGAACTTCTCAAATATAATAGGAAAAACAATGTTGCACATATACTAATTCTTAAAGGAAGGAACACATATGTGACAAAATTTGGGAACCACTCCTACTAATTTCCTTCTCTCCTTACACACTGGGACTGCAGGGTTCTGATTTAGGGAAAAAAAAGACAATAGTAATGTTGAATAAGGATGTTTGTGACAGGGATATGTGGGGGAATCAACAATGAAAATGTTTGCAGAAGAGTGGAGACATACCTTGACCTTTCAGTTCAGGACTCTTTGGACCATACTATTAATATTTTACCAGTTATAAGTACAGGCTTGTTTGGATCCTAATACCTAAGAGGATCTTCAGTGAACTCATTAGTAGCTATATCAGATTTGTTCATAAAATTCAAAAAGTAGACACAAGACAGCACTATAAAGCAAGTACTTGACTGGGTGTTGACAGCTGAAGATTTATTGTACTCACGTTTGTGCAATGCAGGGGGCACCGTAGTGCAGAGGATTGCATCATGTCTGGAGGTGTTCAACAGATTCATGAGGCAATTGTGTCCTGTAGTGGCAAGCATGGTTGTGGCTGAAAAACGTGCAGGAAGTGATGGACCTGGAAATGTGCTGGAGTGTGTCAGCACCATCATGGGTAAGTCCAAAGTGGCTTCAGGTATATCAGAATGAGACATTTGTGCAGCTCACAATTTTATGGAAATGGAACAACATAAATAGTAATACAGTGTAAACTTTCAACAGCATGATAGAGATGGCAGTTGTGGCACTAGTAGTAGCAGGAGCACACAACGATTAGAAGTTGCAGAAAGTGCTGGTTCTTCATGTGGATTTCTTTGAATAAACTGTATTTAATTGATGCTTGCTTGTTTTTATGAGAATGTTAATCCTTTATCATATGGCAACAAGGGATTTAAACCCTTATATTATGGGGCTGCTGACCAGACTTAAACTCCAGGTTCAGTGATACAGTGGTATGCTAGTGTTTTGCATGGCCAACAGAATTGCCTGTAAGCACTGATGCACAGGTGATAAAGGTTAAACAATTGAAAAGCACTGAAACAGGGATAGTCATAGATTGTTGTGCATTATGTATCAGCAATTATGGTCACCCACAAACCAGACCAAAGACAGAAAACTATAGAACATTCAACAACAGCACTTTATGTATATGATGAAACATGTGGATAATGTATTTGAGGCTGTCTGTCTTCACTGTTATTTAATTCTTTTACAAAGACTCCTCCATACTAGAAATGTACCGTCAAATTGAAATTGATCTCCCTCACTTCAAGTCATAAATGTATTGCCTTTAATGACAAATCAGATACTGTATTGAAGGACTAGTTTGTTATAATGAAATAAATTTCTGGCAGGTATCCATGACCTGGACACCATTAGCCCAAATTCCACATTGACAGAGTTAGGGATGGACTCCATGATAGCTGTAGAGATTAGGCAGTCCCTTGAACAGGAGTTTCAAGTGTTTCTCACGCCACAGAAGATAC